CGGGGACGGGGGCGCTCATACAGCTAGACAAGCATCATTGGGGGACACGTCTAGGTTTGTTTTTGCCCCTTTTTGCAGCGGGAGGGGAGTGTGGGGTGGGGTGGGACTTCAAGATAAGGGAGTGTCCTTTCACTCCCGACAGCAAAATAGCTTTGCTTTGCGGGGGGAGGGGGCCGCAGGGAAGCGTCGTTCATTCAATCCTTTGCCCTTTTTACATCTTCAGGGCAGCTGAAAAATTCGATGCGGCTAGCGGAACTGAGGAAAGGCGGCGACGCTCTCCACACCGCAGGTCGCAGCGGTGCCGGCTCCGAGCACAACCACCGCCCCTCCCCGCCCTATTCCGGGCCTTCGCCCCGGACCCCGGGCGGCTCGCTCCGCCCTGCCGCGCCTCACAACATCTCCCGCTGCAAATGGCCCAATCGGGAGACGCGATGAGAGAACGCCAGCCAATCAGGGGCTGCTGACTCAGGCTTCCCTCCACCCTTTGCCCCGCCCCCAGTAGGAAAAGCCACCGCCCCTCGGTCTCCCCTTCCCACCCCGCCCAGCTCGGGGGGAGGTGGCTCAAAGCTCATGTCCTCGCCGGGCTGAAGTGGAGGAGCCCGCCGAGGCAGTGGGGTTTGTCACCTTGTCACCCTCATCCTCGCCTCCTCCCAGACACACCCTTCCTCCCTTTCCCAGTCCTCCTGCTGGTGCTGTTGAGGGTCATTTTTATCCTCATGCTGGCCGGGAACTGCCAGCTATTGTGTCTGATCTGCTGCCACCACTGTCCTGAGGGAAAAAAGAACAAAACCAAGAAGCTTTGGGGTCTGCTTACCTTGTCCTTTCTTAGCACTCTCTGCCCTGAAGATTTAGAGACACCTCCCCGCTCCACCCACCCCAACCTCCCCACCCTGCTCTCCGTCCGCTGCCTCGGGTCCTGTTTCTCTGTTGAGAAAAGACCGAAAACCACTCCCTGGAGCCTGAGTACCTGTGCCTTCGTTGTTCAGATCTCCCTAAGAGTGGGAGGTGCCCAACATTTAGAACAGACAACTAAATCCTCAGCCTGAACGGTTTTGACTAGATCATTTTTATATGGCCATGAAATTTGCATGTTCTTGACAGCCCCTGACAAAACTAGTCAGCCAATAATAACAAAGAAAAAAAATAGGATAAAACGGAGGGAATGCCTGCCAGTCAGTTGGTAATTTACTGAATGGTCCACTGGGCTAGAGCAGTATCCAGTCCTGGATACTGTAGAGTAAATGAACTAAAAGTGAATAGAAATGCAGGGTTCAAGTAGGGAACCTCTAGTGGGCTTATAGAAAAGGTCCAGAAAGGAAAAACGAGTTTAAGCACAAAGCAGCTCCTTACAAATGCAGATGAGCGTGCATGACATAAACTGAGTACCTCACAGCTGAGATGTCTAGGGTTAAGGTATTTGTAATGGAAATTTTTATAAATGTTGATTTTGTAAAAGGCTTTCAGTGTGGTAAAGGAGACTAAAAGTTGGCCGTGGAAGGAGACTATGAAAAGGAGGTAAAACACGTTTCAGGAATTGTGGGAAAGTAACCTAGAAAGACATTACTGTAAGAGGTAAATGGACTGGGATTATAGTTTAGCGCCATCATTTACCACGTGACCTACGGCAAATTATTATGTGTGTAAGGACTGGAGCTATCAAGTAATAACAGTGACTGCCATCTATGTAGCACTGCCTCCCTGCTGAGTAGTCATCCAAGAGCTTTACACACAACTTAATGAGATAGGTATGTCGCAGAGCCAGGATTCCAGCCCCGGGGGTGGGTAGGGTCCAGACTCTACACTTCTCTCCACAACACTATCCTACCTCTAACACAGTTTTTAACAACAAAAGCTACCATTTACTTAGCTTATTAAATGCTGATCATTGTGCTTTGAGGGTAACATGTAATCCTACTTCTGGGATCGGTATGATTACGTTGTTCTAAAACCTGGGATTGTTTTTAAGAACCATTCTAAGCTGCTGCCATGTGTATCTTGCTGAGTATTAGGCTATCTAGATGGCGAAGAGGGAAAGCCCAGAACTAAAATTTGGGAAACCTGGGTCCTCCAAGAAGAACAGTACCTTCCCTCTCTTGCTGGACTGCTGAGAGCATCCAATGAGACCATAGATGTAAACGAGTTTTAAAAATGTAAAAATATTATTCCAATTAAAATATTATTACGAAGGAGGGGCTTGTCCTGTTTCCCCCAACAGGAACCCTATGCTTTTATAGCATTTCTTTGGTATTTATTAGGAACATATTAACCCAATTAAAAATTAGCTCTATTACTTTCTGAAGACATGCGCAGTAACAAGACTTTAATAACTACTGAGCTCTCATTTTGATGCTTTGAGTAGAGCAAAGTGGACGCCCTCTAGGGAAGTGGCAGCCATCCGCCAGTCATTCTCCATCCTAAAGGCTGACTGACCTGTGGAGGATGCAGGATGCTAATCAAACCCTTGGCTTCTCTTCAGCTGCCCATCTTCGGTGTTTCACTCATTAACACTTCCACCAGAGGGAGGGCAGGAGAAAGGAAACCCAGCCAAACCTGAACCCTGTGGCTACTTGTTAACCCGCTCCACTGAGAGATTCCGTGAAACAATAGGTTTGGAGATCATAGTAACTGCAACAAGGTTTGGAATTAACTGCGGGTTTCGCAGTTGACATCTTGGTAGTTTTCTTTATCCCAAATAGCATGGATAAGCAAGAGCTAACAGTAAATCTAGCGTTGTTTACTTTGAAAGGCTGATGTTTTCCTCTTTCAAGCATTGCTAATAAATGTGTGGATTTCTTAGAATCTAACTTCCGAGTTTCCCTTGAAATAGCCTCAGAAATTACTACAGCCATATCAATAACTACAAGAGAACTTTGCACACTATGATTCTTGCAATGTAGGCAAGACATTTTTTAAGATGAGAACTATATCCTCAAAATGTTACATTTTGACTTTGTTAATGACACAGTAATACTGTTTTGGTGAACCATTATCAAGGAAATATGTCAAAGCCAGAAATAGAACCAAAATGCCCTCGCCCCTGGTCTAATGTCATTCTGAGATAATCTATGACAATTTCTACTCTCAATATAGAAGCTGGCAATTCTAAGAGGCACAAGTGTTTGCCAGTGAATTCCACAGATGAAACGTGTAACCAGGGATGAAGCATGTACAAAACTATGTGTCTGAGGCAGTTAAGACCAATGGCCCTCTGAGGAATTAGGCCTTTTTTTGATTTTCGGACAATACGGTAGTTTTTCTTTCTTATCCATACAATACTAAAAAGACACATTATCTCCTAGTATTTCTTTGAAAAAGACCTTCTTGTTGGATTGAAAAGCTACAGAAAACTCACCTCTCTGGCAAGGTATTTAACTGTTGTAATCAAGGGAAGGGAGTGATTTTCTACAATAAATAATTTCTAAGATTCTTCTTCCTTCATCACCTCTTAAATCAATAATGTAAATGATTTACTAATTTAAGGCTCTGCATCTGCTAAATATGATATTATTTCTGTCCACGTGATTACTATCTATCCTCAATTATTAATTTCTAATCTAGAGGGTACTGACGCTATTTAATTCATGTACACAGTGCCTAGCAAGTACCGCGTGAAATAGATACACTTGAATAATTTCTCTGCCCTCTGCTTAGTGTGGCCTTTCCTTTCTCTGGACTAGTATTCTACTTGAATGCTTCTTTTTGGCTTGTTTGTTGCTGTTAATTAATTATGTGATTATAAACAATCTTATATTATTATTTACCTGGTTATTATCTCCTTTTCTATCTAGATTATATAAATTTCTCTAGGGCAGATTCCCAGGGCGTTCGGTTCTTTTTCAGACTGACATAATACCTACCACAGCTTTTACACGTTTCACTACAAAATTATTCAAGAATTGTATCTTGTATCACTATTGTATCACTATTATTGATAGATATTTATACCTCAAGAAATTCCTGGCTGTCCAACAATTCTCTGGGTTGCTGGAAGTTGTGTGTGTATGTCTGTGTGAGCATGCCTAAAAGGGAAAGTGTAAATTACAAGAGGTGTCCACAGAGAGAACACTTGATGTGGGCCTTAATTTCCAGAAATGCCACATTTTATCTTTTTCCCTAACTTCACCTCTGGTGACTGAGCTCATTTTTGGCCACACTACCCTGCCAACAATTAATATCACCTGCATTCTGGCCATAATTATAAAACCCATAGTTTAGCCATGATCATGAAGCAAACATTTTCTTCTGGATTCAAATTATCTTTCAGCACCAGTAGCTCCATAATTAAAATTGAGTGGTATGGTATTCCTATTCATCAGCATTTTCCAGAGTTCATTTCTATATTTTGAGGGGAAAAAAGAATAAAAATGTACACGTTTTTCTTTTTACCTTAAGAATCGTGACTTCCACTTATAAGCATTCCATTTTTTCTTCAAAATACGACGCTTGTTTTTTAAATGTTTCCACCCACCCAACAGGCTGTCACATCCTGTGAAAATACTGTGCAATCTGGGCAGAAACTCAGATTCAAACTGGAGAACTGAAATACCTCTTCATCGTCTTAGAATAGAACGCTAAATTCCAACTAGGAAACTGGGCTAGCAATTGATTTTTGATATTATAGGCCTAATCCAGAACAACCAAAATTTTTTTTGTCAGAATGAAAATATATATATATTGTAGCCTCCCCTTTTATCTTCATAGGGCAGAAGTAGGAGAGATGTGGAAAGACCTCTCCATTCCTTGATTCAATGAAATTTGCCATCTTTCAATCCTCCCTTGTCCTGTAGATCCCATTCCTCTGTTCCTAGAATTGCCTGCATTCCTATCCAATCCCAAAGTCAACTAATCAAGGGTTCTATCTCTAGAGAGGAAAGGTTTGCAGGATGACTTGTAGAATTCACATCTGGGCTTCAGTAGGATAGATGCAGGCTTGCATAACTTTTCTCCTTAAAGATTTTTTCAATTACATTTTAATTTTTCAAAATTGTAACATGGAAAGAAAACAAATAGATATGGCAACTTTGAGAGAGCAGTCTTATGCTACATTCTGTGAACCTACCCTCTTGCCTTCTTCCAGACTCCTACTGCGGCTCTTCGTTGGCTAGATCCACTCAAAGATAATTCAGCCACTGTGTCTTTATATAAATAGAAAGTCTAGAGAGCTAATCTGATCAAAGATGAATGGGAAGAAAATAAAAAGACTGATGTAAACATTTTAAATTGGGGAGGAAAGGGGGAAGATGAAATAAAGAAGCATATTACTTTAAAGAGAAAGAAAAGTTGTATTATAGAAGACAGCTTACCTCAGTAAATAGAAGAAAACTAGAGACAAATGTTTTTATATCCTGAAGGAAATAAAATATACCCAAAATGAAATGACAAGAGAATGAATGAGATCTAAAAGGAGATAGAAAAGCTCAGAGAAGATATTGAGAGGAAAAAAACCATAGCATTGCAGAAGTAATAAATGAATTGTAAGTAATAAAGAATAAGAAACAGCTGATAGAAAATAGTGGATGGATGACAGGGTTTTTAAAAGCATTTCAAATGTAAAGGAAAAGGACAAAGAGGTTAAAGTGACTTGACAAGAGATGAAAAATATGGAGGACAAGTAACCAAAATGCAAACTTAGAGAAACTGACACATCAAACAAAGAGTTTGGAACTAATGGACCTAAACAGTTGTTAAAAGATATAATGTAGCAGACTACTAAATGTTCTCCAATATCTGCTCTCTCCTTCCATAAGAATAGTATTTTAGCTAACCATGGGCTCAATCAGCTAGACTTGATTTCCCAGCCTTCCTTCTAACTAGGTGTGGCCCTAACACTCCATTCTAGGCAATGAAATGTGGGCAGGAATGAGTGTCTGCCACTCTGGAGGTCTTCCCTAAAAGCATTGAACCTGTACCTTCCTAGGCTCTTCCTCCTCATGATGGCTGGGAAAAAGGGCTTCCCAGATTTAGCAAATAAAAATAAAGAATGCCCAGTTCAACCTCAATTTCGGATAAACAATGAACACGTTTTTAGTATATCTCAATTATTGTGTGAGACATACTTGTACTAAAAAATTATTCCTTGTTTATCTACAATTTCAATTGAACTGGGTCTCCTATATTTTCTCTGGGAACCCTCTGTAGATACCAAGAACAGGAGTGTCTCCTTTGCCCCAGAGATGGAAGTCACCTGTGGAAGAAGGCAGAGCCATTGCAGCAGGTCTGAATTGCCTACATCTGGGTTGTTACCAGACAGACATAACCTTCGAGGTCACCACTTCTATACATAAGGACCACCCTATTTTTAAGATCTTTTTGGTACAGGAGCTTAGCTTTTGTCTTAACTATATGTGAATACTTTTTTGCAATGCCAAAGATTAAAAGGACTCACCATCTTACAGGAATTATTAAAAGAGAATAATTACTTGGGGGGAAGTTGTGAAACTTTAAACAAAAAGGAATCCTAAAAGTAAACCAAAGTGAATCACAGGAGGCAGGGTTTGACAAAGTATGGCCCACAGCCTGAATCCAGTCTGCTGCTTGTTTCTGTAAATAAAGTTTTAGGGAGTAGACCCACGGTTATTCGTTTCCGTGTCTGAGGCTGCTTCAGCACTGTAATAGCAGAGGCAGGTAATTGGAACAAAGGTGAAGTATTTTCTATCTGGCTCTTTACAGTTTGCTGACCTCTGGCCCAAAGGAAAAAATTACTGACCTCGGAACTCTTTTCAGTATTAATTGATAGGAAAAGAGTTTTGAAGAAAAAAAGAATGTGACAACCATGTAGTCATCCACATTTAAAAGCAGTGGAAAAACACTCGCAACTCTGTAAAGATTTGGGAAATATATCACTTTTCCCCCCAGAATTATATAATATGATACTGTTATCCACTAAGAGGGGATTTAAAGTGAATATAAAAGGGACTGAAACTGAAACTGAAACTGATTGCTATTGTGATTATACAGAATGGACATGTTGGAAATCTGGAAAAAGTACTACAATGAGAAGTAATAATATTGTATTGTACCTACAATGTACGAGAATAAAATGAGGATACAAAAAAAAGAGAGGTAGAAGGAGAAAGGTAAAAAAAGTGTTAATTGCTATAATTTCTTCAAAGTTATAGGGAGTTATGGAAATAGTATTCTTATGGTATTTAAGGCAGGGGTGTTGAGTGACTAAATAATTGGAAATAATGTGAAAAGACAAGCCACAGACTAGCAGAAGATCTATGTCACTGATATAACCCACCAAGGATTTCTATCGACAGTTTATGAAGAGCCCCTCTAAACCAATAAATAAAACAGAAAAGCTAAGTAGGCAATTCACAAAAGAGGAAACACATGTGGCCACTCACCATAATAAAAGATGCTCAATATCACTGGAATCAGAATAATGCAAATTAAAATGATAATGAGACCATTTCAAACCCATCAGACTGGCAAAAATAAGTCTGATGACAGCGGGTGTTGAAGTGTTGATGAAGACAGAAGCTCCTGCACACTGAAGGTGGGAAACAGAAATCCACAAAACCTGGAAATGCTAACTCCGGTTGCTCAGGCTCCAGTCCCCGCATTGTCTGCAACAGCCGTGTTGACCATTATCTCCACCTTGATATTCGAAAAGGGCCTCAAATTGAAGATGCCCTCGTGTGCTTTTCCCATATTCAGTGGCAACTCTATTCATCCTTTTGCTTGAGACCAAAACCTTTGTTAGGCGGCCTTGACTTTCCTTTCTCTTAGCCCCCACATCCTGTCATCAGTAAATTCTGGCAGCTCTGACATCAAATGGTACCCGGAATCTGGTCGCCACCACAGCGGACACTCAAATCCAAGCCGGGTCATCAGTCATCGGGATTATGATGATGGTCTTTAACTGGTCTTGAGCTTCTGCTCACAACTTTGCTCGTGTCTGCTCTCAACCTTGGAGCCAGGGGACCCTTTGAGGACCTAAATTAGATTGGGTCACGTCTTTGCTTAAAACCTTCTATGGGCTTCCTATTTCACCCAGATAAAAAGCCCAAATTCTTAGGATGCCTTATCTTGGTTCTGTTGGATCCACCTCCTGGTTACTGGTTCCAGTGCAGCCATGCCGATACCCTTGCTGTTTTTCAAACGCACATGCACACGCGCTCACAGGGATGCACGCGCCCTCCTTCAGCTCACCTGCTGTTTCCCAAGCCTAGACTGTGCTTCCCCAGATATCCACTCGGGTCTCTCCCTCAATTTGTTCAGTCTTTCACTCAAACATCACTTTATCAGACAGATTTTTTTTTGTTATAATCATTTTACAATGTTGTGTCAAATTCCTGTGAAGAGCACAATTTTTCAGTAATACTTGAACATACATATATTCATTGTCACATTTTTTTGCTGTGAGCTACCACAAGATCTTGTATATATGTCCCTGTGCTATACAGTATAATCTCGTTTATCTATTCTTCATTTGCCTGTCAGTATCTACAAATTTTGAACTCCCAGTCTGTCCCTTCCCACCCCCCACCCCCTTGGCAACCACAAGTTTGTATTCTGTGTATTAGACAGACTATTTATTAGATGATTAGGTTTTCCCTGACTCCTCCACCACTTAAAATAGCATAATATCCACCCTTCCCACCCCAACCCAACTGCTTTCTCTCCATCCCTTATACTTTAATTTTTCAAAGCACTAATTGCCACCCGGTGTTTTATATTTTTATTTATTGCCTCTCTCCCCAGCTTAGAATGTAAACCTCAGAAGAACAGGAAATAAATCTCTTGTTTATTGCTAAATCCCTGTTCCTGGAACAGACCCGGTATATACTAGACACCCAATAAAATACGTGTTGAAGGGTAAAATAAAAACCACTTTGGAAAACACATTTTAAAATACAGTAACTAGGAAAGTTGGAGATGCACATACTGTATTCTAAAAGAAAAATCTACTTCTGGATCTCCACCCAGAGAAACTGTCCCCTTTGTCCCCTTTGTACATAAGCAGAAAGTATAAAGTAACCCTTTCTAGAAAAGCAGAAATTACATGCTCTTCAGTCAGTAAATGATAAAATCAGCTTAATTTAGGCAATGCAAGTCTATTTAGCAGGTAAAATAAATATATCAACATCTATCAATTTATATCAAAAGAATTACGTTGAATGAAAAGGCAAATTGTGGATGGATGAGCAGTTTGGTGATGTGTATATATGTGTCTACATATCCATATATGTAACATATATTGTTTATAATATACATATCAGAATTAAAGTGTAAAATCGTGGAATGATAAACATCCACTTCAGGAGGGAAGGAGGAAGGAAAGAAAAGAGGGAGGGGGCAAGTGTTTAGAGGCAACATTTTTAGTTCTTTAAAATAAAAAGCTCTAGGGGGAGGTGGGTATGGCTCAGTGGGAGAGCACATGCTTAGCAGTCATGAGGTCTTATGTTCAATCACCAGTACCTCCACTAAAAATTAAAAGCTCTGAATACATATAATATATGTATTCTTCAAGATATATAATATACTTTAGACATAATTTAGTATACCATACACTCTATTTATCTACTTCCACAACACATACTAAAACCAAGAACTCTTTGTTTAAATTGAAGTAGTCAATTACAATGTGTCAATCTCTGGTGTACAGCACAATGTCCCAGTTATGCATATACATACATATACTTGTAAAACCAGAACCTCTTAACAGCATTTGTCTTTGAGGGGTGGAACTGAGAATGGGGGAGGGAGAAGAAGAAACACCTTGATCACCATTTGGAGTTTTTTTTTTTTCTAAAATTATTTATGAGAAAGCATTACTTCCATTTTTTAAATGACATATTTTAAATGCCTTTCTTCAGTCCTTGTCAAGGCAAACAGAAAAATTAAAACACTGAGGACCAGAATAACAATTAACAAGCTTGAAATAATAAGTTTCTATTAAACTCCCCCTCTGAAAATAAAAGTCTACTTTCTGTCAAGGGTCCCATGAAACAGTTGTAAGAATTGACCATATATGTATTACACAGGTGATCAAAACCAAAATGTCAGAGCATCAACAAAGGAAGGAAAATGTTTCACAATTGAATGTTTCTGGTATCTATCTCCATACCCAAAGTGAACTGCTGCAAAATGGAACTGAGAGGTACATGCTCCTGTAGCGCATCTTGTTCCAATCTGTGCTAGAGCCAAACTACGAACTGCTACATCTCAGAGACCTCCAGTTTGTTCATGAACAGCCAAACTGCAAAATCTAATTTACTGATTTTTTTTTACTAGTAAAATTTAGATGCATTATTTTAAATGTTATTGAGGAATAATGGACACAGAGTTGTCTGTATTTAAAAAGTACAACGTAATGATGTGACATACACAGATGTCGTAAAATGATTACCAAGATGAAGATAACTAATTTACTAATTTAAAATTGAGCTACTTACTAAAGAGGGAACTTAGAACTTGATGTAAAGTCTGATTTCGAATTCCAATGATATTTTTTGAAAAATGCAGCTTCATCAAATTGAGTTGATAAAAACAGCAAATTAAATAGCACCTGGCTTTAATCAAACACAGGCAAGATTTGTGCTTCTTAATCCAGACTGCTCATTTGAAACTTCTGGAAGCTTTAAAAACTCCTGAGACTCAGGCTACACTGGAAACCTGTCAATTCAGCTCTCTGGGGGTGGGGCCCAGGCATCAGTGTTTTTGAAAGTGTCTCAGATGATCCCATCCTGCCGTCAAGACTGAGACCCACCGCTGTAGATGCAAATCGAGGAAAAGGGAACTTACATTACAAAAGCCTGCAGAAGCCTGACCCTTTAAAAAGCTTTGTATCTCTGCTTTCTTTTATTCCAGAGCAGAAGGCATTTTAGGAGTTCTGATTTAGCCCAGAAATGTGAACTGTTCTGTTTAGACTTCATGAAAGCACATGTGGGCGATTTTGCCGCCATGAAATCACTTGAACCATCTGGCAACGCAACAGGAAGTTATTCTGGTTTCGAATGAAGTGAACCAAGTCCGGTGAGGCAGCAATTAAAACCTATCAAAATAGCTTTGACTTTCTGAGTGGTACAGAAGAGTATTCATCCTTTCCAAAGGGATTTTTAAATTTTCCTTCTCCCTTATTTCCATAGAAAAGATTTCTATAGCTAAGATTTCATTTGAGTCTATTATTTCAAGAAATAAAATAAATCCTAATACTTCAAAGGCTTTAATAAAAACATAAAGCTCAACTTCTTATTCTCATGAAGGAGAAAGTATAAATCCAATTAATGGGTATTTGAAGTAAATTTTGAAGCCCTACTAAAACTGAAACAGCTTAAAAATGTATGAAGTACTTGAGTTCAGGATCAAGATGAAAACATGAAGCATTAGTGTAGGCAGGTGAGGCGAGGGGGGAAATGGTCTCTATAACATGCTTTTACCATCACTTAGTGGGTGAGGTGTTTGGAGGTAATCCCCGTATTATCAGCTGTTTAGTCTCAACACTGTTCTATTTCTTTTATTGGTTATGCTGTGTCTTTTAATAGGTTTTTCATATGCTTTCATGAGTTCTATTTTCTTAACCTCTCCATTTGAAGAATTTCTTCCAGCCTTGCTATCACCCCACCCTGCTCCACCCATGCCACCCCATAAGGACACCATAAGGGACATTTCATAAGGGACACTGGAGTGGTAAATCTGAGTGTGTCTTTCTGTTGCCCTTGAACATATAAATGTGGTTTTCCAGATTTAGGCACATTATCAATTTCTATATATATTTGGGGAAACTGTAGATTCACATGCAATTGTGAGAAATAATGCAGAGAGACCCTGAGTTCCCGTTTCCCCCAGTGGTAACATCTTACAAAACAATAGGAGAACCAGGATATTGACATTGGTACAGCCAAGACTGAGAACAGTTCCATCACTGCAACCAGCAATCCCTGGGGTTGTCCTTTTTTGAGACACCCCCATGTCTCTCCCACTCCACACCCTTCTTAACTCTTGGCAACCATCATGTCCTCCATTTCTATAATGTTGTCATTTCAAGAATGTTACTACATAAATGGAATCATACATTCTGTGAACTATTGGAATCATCTCTTTTTTCACTCAATAAAATTCTCTGGAGATTCATCCAGGTTGTGTGTATCAATAGTTTCCTCCTTTTTCTTAACAGAGTAGTCTTCCACGCTGTGCCTTAGCTCAGTTTGTTTTACCAGGCACCCAAAGAAGACCACTGGGGTTCTTTCCCATTTGGGGCAGCTTTCCAATTTGCAAATCAAGCTGCAATAAAACTATTTGTGTACAGGTTTTTGCATGAACATAAGTTTTTATTTCTCTGGGATAAATACCCAGGAGTACAATTGCTGGGTCATATGCTAACTACAGGTTTTTAAAGAAACTGCCAACATGTTTTCCAGAGTGACTCTACCACTCTACATTCCCTCCAGGCATGTGTGAGTGATCAAGTTTCTTCACATCCTTGCCAGCATTTGGTGTTATCATTATTTTTTATGGCATTGTTATTTTTATTGTACCATTCTGATAAGTGTGTAGTAATGGCTTATTGTGGTTTTAATTTGCATTTCCCTGATGGCTAGTGACATAAAATGTCTTTTCATGTACTCTTCTTATGTTTTTCTTATATATACTGTCCAGGTTTTCAGTGGTATTTAGCAGCAGCAAGAAGGAAAATACCACATTATCTTTTATGGTGAGTCAAAGTAGAATAGCAGTTAAGGGGTCAAGTTCTGCTCTCACATGGCCAAGGTCCAAATCCTAGCTCAATTACATCCTGGCTGTGCAAACTTGGTCTATTACTCTTTCCTCAGTTTTCCTATCTGCAAAATAGGAATAACACTTATCTTGTTTTGAGGATCTAATGAACTAATGCAAATCACTTCAAGGAATATGTTAATTATTTCTAGTTATTGTAGAGGATTCATATGTAATTCATAAGATGAGATTGTATGATTTCACAGAATTTAAATATGTGCTTCCCACTGGTCTGGTTTTTAATATTACAAAGAACTATTTTGATGCCAATCTATTTTTCCTGTTTTCCAGGTGTGTCAATACTGCTTGGAGGATTTTAATTTTTCCTTGCAATTCTCACCTGTGATCAGTTATGTACGGGGGGTATCTCTTCATAAACTCTTCCAGCCGGGAACTGCAAATGTTTCTGCAGCTCAGAGTCATGGGTAAATTTGGTGCAAATTCTCTTAATTTCTAAGCATATGTAAGACACACCTTCTTTACCTAATATTAAATTCCTTTGGTCTTTCCAGGAATTGAGAACAGAGGGCTATGCAGAGAGGGAGACGATTTTGAAACCTGGTTATTCTATTCAAAACCCAAGATATAAACAAGGTTTACTCATATTTACTCTCCATCTAAGGTTCAGTGTAATATAATATTTTGAGTATTTTAAAATTTGCATATCTTTAAAAGTGTAAAATATACCCTTAAAGTGCAGAGATGGGAAAAGTTCTTTTTGAGTGACAAAAAAGGGGCAATCAAATCATTGGCACCATAATAATAATTTCACAGCACTTCCCCATCATTATCTAATCCTTAAAGTATAGCTACAAATCATGTAAGAAGTGTCCTCATATTTTACAACAAATAGTACACAGACAATAATGAACTCATCTACAAAACAGAAACAGACCTGTAGACCTAGTAAACAATCTTATAGTTACTGGGAGAAAGGAGGTAGGAAGGGATAATTCTGGGAGTTTGAGGTTTGCAAATGTTAACCACCACATATAAAAATAGTTAAAAACAAATTTCTTCTGTATAGCACAGGGAACCATATTCAATATCTTGTAATAACCTTTAATGAAAAAGAATATGAAAATTAATGTACGTATGTATATGCATGACTGCGACATTGTGCGTCCACCAGAAATTGACACATTGTAACTGACTATACTGAATTGCAGGAAAAAGAAAACCCCACAGGATTTTAAAACAAGTTTGATTAACTGCACCAAGTTATCCCCATAGAGAATAGGCATTTGGCTATAAATAAATATATGTGCACTAAATGTGCAAGGTAGTAGTAGGTATAGAATTATCTCAGATGAGTTAAAATAGATTATATATAATGTGTGTACAATTTATAGATCCAAAAACATTTATGGAAAGACATTTTTGGCAGAAAACTTAAAACAAACTCTGCAGAGTGGGACTAGATAGTAGCAGTATGGTTGGCGGAGGGACTGCTGGATGGAACTCACATATAGAGGAGAGAATAGTCAGAAATCTGAGCAAGGACCATGGCATTAGCTTAGGGATAGGGAAGTTAAGAGCAGGATTAGAAATGGAAGAGTAGTAATGGAAATGGAAGAGAATTATTGGACAGGTTGAATCCCTTTGATGTGGGATTTAATTGATTATAGGAGAGCTATTTGGGGAGGAGGAGCTTTGGATGTGTTGATTTCAAAGTTCTGGCTGAACTTCAGGTCTGCCAGTAGTTGCAAAGCTGAGTCTGGCTGTCAGAACAAGATTGGAGCTGAAAGTGCATTTTTTATCTTGTATCTGCCATTAGTGATATCTGGTAAGGTAAACCTCCTTTAACAATATGTTTCTAATTTGTCTTTTGGCTCTTCTTGTTTGACTGGTCGTCTCAAAAAATCCCATTAAGATTTTAGTCAAAATGGTATTAAGTGGATAAATTAATTTGGAAAGAATTCACTTTTAGTATATAAGAATAGAATATCACACTCTCTTATTAATGAACACAGATTTTTCTCTTCAGTGATTTGTCTTCTTTTATCATCCTCAGTGAAGTTTTATCATTTTTTTCCTGTCCTTCCAACTTATTTCTTATTACGCTTCTTCTTCGGTATTTTATACTTTATAATGGTTTGTGATTATATATATATATATATACACAAACCATTTACTGGTATCCAGAAAAATAATCAATTTTGCATATTTATTTTATAACTGGCCAACTTATCAAACTCTCTCCTTAGCTCTAAGAGCTTCTGTTTCCTCTTCTTTCTAATACTTGTGTCAATCTCTTTTTCTTATTATGCTTGATGACTAGAATGACCAGGGCAATTCTGAATAACAGCAATTACTGAGGGAACAAATACTAGATACTTACTTAGCCCTTGCATAGATAGAAAAGTCATCATCTTGTCTTCATGAATGAAAAACAATTTTATTTTCCCTCTGCTGTTTGTTTTTACTGTTTTGACGTTCTTCTTATTTTACCCGCTCTGCTTTTTAAGTCTTGCTTTCCCTTTTTAATCCCATCCTATCATCTTTTTGGTCTTTTTCTTTCCTCTTTTGTCTTTCTGCTTTAATTCAGAGACAGCATCTTCCTGCACTCTGTTGAGGAAGTCGAAGAGATTCCTGAAATTCTTCAAGACGTTGTGAAGATTATGCTTTCCCTCTGGTGTTTTACTATATTTTGTAGACACTTCTTTTTCTTCTTTTTCTCAGTCTTCAATAAGTTGAGATCTAGTCAGACTTTTTTGGTTGCCAGATAGGAGCGTGGACTGTCCTGGCCCTGCTCTGCACCTTTGTGGGAAGATGGAGTTCCCTTCTTGAATCGACTGTTTGAGAGCAGGTTAAAATGCTATTTGTACACCTGCCAGTTTTTAGTGTATTTTCAATTGTTGTGATTTTACTCATGGCATCTTATCTTCACTCCTTGCTCTTTGTAATTAGGGAATGGTTGAAAAATTAATATTCTCACTAGGTATCTGTAATGGTTAACTTAAAAAATTTTTTTAAATTTTTTGCAGGGGGAGGTAATTAGGTTTACTTATTTATTTTTTTCATGGCAATACTAGGGATTGAACCCATGACCTCATGCATGCTAGGCATGCACTCTACCACTTGAGCTATACCCTCCCCCTATAATGGTTAATTTTTGTGTCAACTTGACTGGGCCATGGGGTGCCTGGATATTTGATCAAACATTATTCTGGGTGTGTCTGTAGGGGTGTTTCTGGATGAATGCAATCTCTGAATGGGTAGACTGAATAAAGCAGGTTGCCTTCTCCGATGTGGGTGGGCCTTATCCAATCAGTGGAAGGCGTGAATAGAACAACAACGCTGAGGGAGCAGGAACTCCTTTTGCCTGACTGCCTTCGAGCTAGGGCATTGTTTGTTCTTCCCTGCCTTAGAACTCAGTCTGAAACACTGGCTCTTCAAGCTGGCCAGCTTTTAGACTTCAGCTACATGATCATTCTCCCAAGTCCTCAGCTTGCCAAACTGCAGCTCTCAGGAGTTCTCAGCCTCCAAAATTGGGTGCATCTATTCCATACAATAAATCTCTCTATATATACATCCTGTTGGTTCTG